CAGGAGCAGCAGCAGCAGGAGCAGCAGCAGCAGCATCAGGGAGGCGGCAAGAGGGCCCCCCGCAGCATGCAAGACGGGCAAGGCAACAGCAGCTGGGGGGCCCCCCCTAGCAGCAGAATTTCTATGTCTTCATTTAAGCTGCAGCAGCAAACAAATGATGCAGCTGCAGATACACCTGAAAGAGCAGACAGCAGCTGCGAGCTAGAAGGAGACACCCCAGACTTCGAACCCCCTTTTGCTTCTGCAGCAGGAGCAGTAGACCCAGCCAACTGCGGAGGTAAGCAGCAGCAGCAGCAGCATTAGAAGCAGCAGCAGCATTAGAAGCATCACAAGCACCAAGAGCAGCAGAAGCAGCAGCAGCAAGTAGGAAGCAGCAAATAGCAGCTTACGTACACTTCTCCTCAGGATCTCCATTTAAAAGGAGACACCTTTTGCTGCAAAGTGCATGCGCTGATGCTGCTGCTGCTGCTGCTGCTGCTGCTACGTGCGTCGTGCGGTGCTGCTGCAGGCTTCCATTTGTTTTCTATACACATGTATCTGCAGCAGCAGCAGCAACAGCAGCAGCAGCAGCAGCAGCAGATATCCTTCGACGATCCCGGGGCGGAGTGGGGGGGTTTAGAATTAGAGGGGCCGCTGCTGGAGCAGCAAGGTGCAGCAGCAGCAGCAGCAGCAGCAGAGCGGCAGCAGCAGCAGTGCGAGTTTAGAGCAGCAGCAGAAGCAGCAAAAGCAAAACGTCTTCGTCTCAGCCCTTCACAAGAAGAAGCAGCAGACATGGCTGCAGCATTTTCAAGTTGGTTGGAGGTATGTCTTAGTGTCTCCTTTTTTATTTTATTGTCTCCTTCTGTCTTTGTTTGTCTCTTGTGTCTGTCGCCTGCTGTCTCCTTTTGTCTTCGTATGTTCTTTGTTGTTTTATTTGTTTGTCTCCGTCTGTCTCCTCTGTTTTATGTGTTTGACTCTGTGTCTTTGTTTGTCTCTCTTTGTCTCTGCTGTCTCTTCTCGTATCTGTCTGTCTGTCTCTGTCTGTCTCTGTCTCTTTGTCTGTCTCTGTCTCTTTGTCTGTTTCTGTCTCTCTCTCTCTCTCTCTCTCTCTGTCTCCCCGTCTGTGTCTCTCTCTGTCTCTGTCTGTCTCTATGTCTCTGTCTCTCTCTGTCTCTGTCTCTGTCTGTCTCCGTCTCTGTCTCTCTCTCTCTGTCTCTTTGTCTCCTTCTGTCTGTATGTCTCTCTCTGTCTCTGTCTCTGTCTCTGTCTCTCTGTTTGCTGCTGTCGCCTTTTATTTTGTGTTGTCTCCTTTTTGTTTTATTTGTTTATTTTTCTGTCTTTGTTTGTCTCTGTCTCTTTACTTATTTATTTATTTGTTTATCTTTGTCTGTGTCTGTCTCCTCCTGTCTCTTCTTTTTTTTTATCTGTCTCCTTGGCTTTGTTTTTGTTTGTTTGTGCTGCTGCTGTCTCTCTTTTGCTGTCTCCTTTTGTCTCTCTTTGTCTTTGCTGTAGCTTTTTATTTATTCTTAAATTTATTTTTATTAATTAAACAAACCCTAAAATATTATTTTCTTTGCTGCGCTGTTTGCTGCTGCTGCAGATCATCACAAGCTGCGATAGCGGCCCAGCAACATCAGCAACAGCTGCTGCTGCAGCAGCAGCAGCAACAGCCCAATCAGCAGCAGACCCGGCTGGTGCTGCTGGTGCTGCAGTTGCTGCTGCAGACAGCAGCAGCAGCAGCAAAAACGAACTCCCAGGAGGAGACAAATTCCTTCGTACGGGGTCGAGAGAGATGCAACAGCAGCAGCAGCAGCAGCAGCAGCAACAGCAGCAGCAGCAGCAGCAGGCTGTCTGTGCTGCTGCACCTATCTCCCAGCGTGGGGGCCCCCAGTGGTAGGGGCCCCCTGCAGGAGGTTCGTACCCTTTAGGGGGGCCCCTAGGGGGGCCCCCAGGAGGAGCGCAAGCGCAATCAACTGCCGGTTTAATGCTTTATGCCCTGCTGCTGCTGCTGCTGCTAGTTGGTTTGCTGCTGCTGCTGTTAGTTGGTTTGCTGCTGCTGCACTCACTGCCGCTGCTGCTGGTGTTAGTGTGGTTGCTGTTGCTGCTACACCCATTACTGCTGCTGGTACTGCGCTTGTTGCTGCTGCACCTGCTACTGCTGCTGCACCCACTGCTGCTGCTGCTGCTGCTGCTGCTGCTGCATGAGGTGAGCGAGGTGGGGGTTGCAGATGATGAAGTCTTCTTCTGCAAGTACAGCATCAAGGAGACAGTCGTGTGCTTCAGTTTGGAGACACTCGCTCGGCACTTGCTGACAGCGAAACGCTAAACCACACAACAACGGCCTTGCTGCTGCTGCTGCTGCTGCTGTTACTGTTGCTGCTGCTGGGGGTGCTGCTGCATCTGCTGCTGCTGGTGATGTTGCTGATAGAGACCCTGTCGTTCTCAGTCTGCGCAGCAGTTCACCGGGGCTGTTTGCTGCTGCTTCCTGCTGCTGCTGCTGCTGCTGCTGCACGCCCTCCCCCACAGCAGCAGCAGCAGCAGCAGGAGCAGCAGCAGCAGGGAGGTTCTTGAGAGCAGCAATTGTAGCATCATAGAAGCCCCCCCCATACCCTAGACGAGCACCAAGAGAAGTAAATGCAACGAGCGGCAGCAGCAGCAAATCCGCAGCAAAGAATGCAGAGACGCCAGAGGAGGGCACTGCAATGCCGAACTACGCGCACAAACCCTAAACCCTAAACCCTTAATCATTAAATACGCTTTATTAAAATTCACCACTTACAATAAACCCTAAACCTATTACCGCATTTTAATGTTTAACAACAATAAACCCTAAACCCTAAACACATTTTAAGTATAAACCCTAAACCCTAAACACATCTTAATATAAAGCACTAACAGCATATTGTTATAAACCCTAAACCCTCTCGCTGTACAAACCCTCAGCTCCCGACGCTAAGCCAAAAAGAATGAAGCCCTACTAAACCCTAAACCCTAAACCCTCCCTCTGCATACAAGGCGTTGGTTGGAAGCCCTAAACCCTCGCTGCCGCTCGTTGACCCCAAACCCTAAACCCTAAACCCTTACTCGGCCTGGCTTGAGCTGCTCTCCAGGGTAGTAACGACAAAACTTCATACAGAGACCTTTAGGGGGGCAGACAGGCAGATACACCTCAGCGCCGATTGCATGCAGCTGCTGCAGCAGCGGGAAGCAGCTGTACTCGCAGCCTATCCTGCTATAACCAACCACACGAAGAGGTGCTGCTGCTGCTGCTGCTGCTGCTGCTGCTGCTGTTCCGCTTGTTGCTACTGCAAACAGCAACACACAGACACAAAGAAGAGTAAGGCATCGTCCAAACTGCTGTTGCTGTTGCTCTTGCTGCTGCTGCTGCTGCTGCTGCTGCTGCTGCTGCTGCTGCTGTTGGAGCTGCATATACACCTGAAGGCTCATCTTCAGGGTAGCGCAGTCTCCTTGGGAAGAGGAGACGAAGAAGCGAAAGCAAAGGCCCCAGCTGGCTATTTAAATGCTGCATGCTTACAGCATCAGCTACTGTCTGCTGCTGCTGCTGCTGTTGCTGCTCCTGTTGCTGCTGCTGCTGCTGTTGCTGTTGCTGTTGCTGCTGCTGCTGCTGCAGCTGAAGCTGCAGCAGGTGCTCCGAGCGGACCCGCAGCATCTTCGTCCTCAGCAGCGCCTTCGCCTCCCTTACGTGACGCATACTCATTTTGCTGCTGCTGCTGTTGCTGCAGCAGCAGCAGCAGCAGCCGTTGCTAGTGCTGCTACAGCTGTTGCTGCTGCTGGGGGGAACGATGCTGAGTTGGTGCTGATGACGCTTCTGCCTGCGTCTAGAGTTGACCCCCCTTGCAACAAACCCTAGGGTTTAGGGCTTAGGGTTTAGGGTTTAGGGTTTGCATCTCCTTAGGAGGCGGGCTTAGAGGTCTTCACATTTTGAGGCATGGGGCTAAAGGCCTTTAATTAATTTCTAGAGGAAAACATTTTTTATTAAGAGTAGAAGGTTTAGAGTCTAGGGTTTAGGGTTTAGGGTTTAGGGTTTAGGGTTTAGGGTTTAGTGTGTTAGGGGTCAGCTGCCGACAGACTGTAGTGAGGAAGATAAAAAGAAAATAAATAAATTTATCTGGAGCAGTTGGAATAACTTTTAAGAAGAGTAAAAAAGTATTAGGGTTTAGGATTTAGGGTTTAGGGTTTAGGGTTTAGGGTTTAGGGTTTAGCGCATGCGGTAGATGGCTGCAGCATTGAGGCGCAGTTGAGTGATGTTTGATGTTTACAGTATCTGTGCTGCAGCAGCAGAGACGCGATTGTTATGTTTCTGTTTATTAAACTTATTGTCTCTTCATTGCTGCAATTTGGGGTGTATACGCAGCTCCTTCTTCTACAAACCCTAAACCCTAATTCTGCTGCAGCTAGAAAACATACAACAACCAGCCCCTATTTGCAGCGTGGGGTGTACGTACACCTTGACTAGCTACAACATCTTCTCTAATAAACTAGCACCATTGCTGTGCGAGACGGCAGTCTCTGCTGCTGCTGCTGCAGCTGCTGCTGCAGCAGCTGCTGCAGCAGCTGCTGCTCGCGAGTAGCAGCAGCTAGACGGTCTGCTGCGCGCACGCGGATGCGCGTTCGCAGCAGCAGCAGGCCCAGCAGCAGCAGCAACGGCAGAAGCCGCAGCAGCAACAGCAGCAACAGCAGCAGGAGCAGCGGTAACAGCAGCAGCAGCCGCAGCAACAGCACAGGATGCAGGCAGTGCAGCATTTGCTGCAGCAGGCGTTTAGATTGAACAATCATCTGCAAATCGGAGGAAGGACTCTGCGTATAGAAAAACAAATTGCTGAAGGTAATCTTTTGCTGCTGCTGCTGCTGCTGCTGCAGCTTCTGCTGCTGCAGCTTCTGCTGTTGCAGCTTCTGCTGCTGCTATTGCTGAAGGTCCTGCTGCTATTGCTGCTGTTGCTGCTGCTGCTCTGGCTGCTGCTGCTGTTGATGCTGCTGCTGCTGCTGCTGTTGATGCTGCTGCTGCTGCTGCTGCTGCTGCAGGAGGGTACGGGTACGTGTCTCTTGTGCGGGATGTGCTGACTGAGGAGACGTTTGCGCTGAAGCGGCTGCCTTATCAAGATAAAGAGAGTTATGAAGCAGCAGCAAACGAGTTGCTGCTGCTGGTGGGCCCCCTAAACAGCAGCAACCCCACTGAACACCACCTGCAGCAAACACACAAACAGCAGCAACAAAACAACGAAAGGGGGCCCTTCAAATTTGCTGCTGAACGGTACCCTGCTGCTGGATGGGCCCCCTTGATTGTTCCTGCGTTTAGGGTTTAGGGTTTAGGGTTTAGGGTTCAGGGTTTAGGGGTTATTGATGCCTGCGTTGCAGAGATCTCTCCCTCCTCATGAAAATGTTGTCGGCTGTCATGGGGGCCTCTTAGGGGGCCCCCAGGGTACAGGGGGGGGCCCCCAGGGTACAGGGGGGGGCCCCGGTGAAGTGCTGCTGCTGCTGGAGTACTGCAGCGGAGGCAGCCTTTTAGATTTGCTGCAGCGCACAAAGAGGCCCCAAGATGGTTTACAAGAAAGCGTTATTAGACGTGTCTTGCTTCACGTTGCCAGGTTAGGGTTTAGGGTTTAGGGTTTACGTTTTAGGGTTTAGGGTTTAGGGTTTAGGTTTTAGGGTTTAGGGTTTAGGGTTTAGGGTTTGGATGCTTGTGGCGGGTTTTCATAATCGGCTGTGTTGTGCAGGCAGCATGAAGATTGATGTTTAGGGTTTGTTTGCTTCATGAGGGTTTAGGGTTTGTGTCTTTCCTGAGGGTTTACGTTTTAGGGTTTAGGGTTTAGGGTTTAGGGTTTAGGGTTTAGGGTTTATGTGTGCAGAGGGCTTGCGCATTTACACTCTCAAACCCCCCCTATAGTTCATTGCGATCTAAAAGCAGAAAACATATTATGGAGGCCCCCTTCATCAGAAGGGTACTGTGGGGGGCCCCCTGGGGGCCCCCCTAGTGGGGGCCCCCCCCTTAATGGGGGTACCCAGGAGGGGGGCCCCCCTTCTGTGGGGGGCCCCCCTTCTGGGGGGGGCCCCTCCTCGTTCTTGTTGGGGGGTTTGTGGGGCCGGGGTGGGGCCCCCAGAGGTGCCGATACACCTGAAGAGCCTGAAGGCTTGCGAGGAGTTTTTAGGGTTTGCGATTTTGGTAGTTGTATGCGGGGGATCGTCGATCCCAGCAGTGGGGGGAGAGAGTTTAAGTTGCTGCTAAAGGAGAGGATTGAGAAGCATTCAACTCTTGCCTACAGGTCTGCTGCTGCTGCTGCTGCTGGTATTGCTGCTGCTGCTGCTGGTATTGCTGCTGCTGCTGCTGCTGTTGCTACTGCTGCTGTCGGTGGTGGTGGTATTGCATTGCTCCTGTTTTTGCTGCTGCTGCTCTTGATACGGCGCTGCTGCTGCTGCTGCTACGGCTTCGGGTTCTGCTGCTTTTCCTGTTGTTGCTGCTGCTGCTCTTGTTGCTGCTGCTCCTGGCCTGCTGCTTTTTTTGTCGCTGCTGCTGCTGTTTTGTTGCTGCTGCTGCTGTTACTCGTGCTGCTGCCTTGCCCAGCATGGCGTACCATTGTTGCTGCTGGTTGCTGCTGTTGCTGCTGCTGTTGTTGCTGCTGCCGCCCTGTTTGCTGCTGCTGCGGTTGTTGTTGCTGCTGCTGCCCTGTTTGCTGCTGCTGCTGCTGTTGTTGCTGCTGTTGTTGCTGCTGCTTTTGCTGCTGCCTCAGGGCCCCCGAGATGGTGGATCTCTACCTTGAGTACCCTGTGGGGCCTCAAGCAGACATCTGGGTAAACCCTAAACCCTAAACCCTAAACCCTATACCCTAAACCGTGCTGAGCACTGCTTACAGCTGCTTGCTCGTCGCGCCAGCGTTGCAGGCCGCAGCAGCAGCAGCAGCAGCAACAGCAGAAACATGCAGCAAACAACAGCGGAGACAATAGCAGGTCGTGTCTCTGCTGTTTCTGATTCGGTGATGGTTTCTGCTGCTGCTGCTGCTGTTTTTGCTGCTGCTATCCTTGTTGCTGCTGCTGCTATTGCTGCTGCTGCTGCTGCTGTTGCTGCAGATGTTAGGCTGCGTGTTGTTTGTTTTATGCTTCTACCGGCAGCCCTTTGAAGGGGCCTCTGCACTCGCCATCAGCAACGGGGCGTACACCATACCCCCTACCCACAAGTACCCCTAAACCCTAAACCCTAAACCCTAAACCCTAAACCCTATAAGGCCTCTATCTGAGCTGCTCTGTTGATGCAGTGTTACCCTAAACCCTAAACAGAGATCTAACTGTTTCCTATCCTCTTGCATCTCCCGTCGTGTTGCTGTTCTTGCTGCTCCTGCTGCTGCTCTGTTGCTGCTGCTGTTGCTGCTGCTGCTGCTGCTGCAGGTACTCTGAAGAGTTGATGTCTTTGCTGCGGTGTCTCCTTTCCCTACGCCCGTGGGATAGGCCCACAGCACAGCAGCTGGCTGCTGCCCTCGAAACCCCCGGGGGACTTGGAGAGCTGCTGCAGCAGAAGCAGCAGCAGCAGCAGCAGCAGCAACAGCAGCGGAGGAAGCACCGGCAGCGGGATGCCTCTTCTTTTGCGGTACGCCACATCCATAGAATATTTATACAATATTGTGTGTGTAGTTTTGCTGCTGCTGCTGCTGCTGCTGCTGTGGGTTGATTTCGCTGCTGCTGA